GAATTAACTGTGCTCGATTAGCTTCAAAAAATTGTGATTTAAATTTCACAATTAATCACAGTATTAACTGCATTACTAATTAACAGAATAACAATAGAAAATTATTAAATATTGTGGATGCTTTTCTACATTTTCCAATATAATTATTTCAATTACAACACAGAATACAAAGTGTATTTAACATATATATGTTAATCTCTACAGTACCACAGGACTACTCATTTTTAAAGGTTACAGACTAACATGGATACCGGTACTCCTCTGAGGAAGTGTACAGTGTTCACTTGATAGTCCTTTTGATTACACACATTTTTACTGTAAAAATAATAAAAGAAATAGTATTTTTTCAATTCACCTCAAACAAGTACTGCAATGCAATCTCTTTTGCATGAAAGTGCAACTTACAATTTTTTTTGCACTCAAAAACAAAACAATGTAAAACTTAAGAGCTTACAAGTCCACTCAACCCAACTTCTTGTTCAGACAATTGCTCAAACAAACTTCTTTATATTTGCAGGATATAATGTTGCCTGCTTCTTGTTTACAATGTCACTTGAAAGTGAGAACAGGTGTTCACATGGCACTATTGTAGCTGGCATTGAAAGGAATTGATATGCGACTATGTTGAATATTTATATGCTCTTTCATGCTTTGGCCAACATTCTGGAGTACATGCTTCCATGCTGATGATACTCATTATAAAATGTGTTTACTAGATTTGTGACTGAACTCCTTGGGGGAGAATTGTATGTCCCCTGCTCTGCCATATATTTCATGTTATAGCAGACTCAGATGTTATAGTCTCAGCACATGTTCATTTTAAAAACTCTCTTACAGCAGATATCACAAAACACAAAGAAAATACCAAAATGAGATTTCTGAAGATAGCTACACAACTCAAGATTTAAGAATATGAACAGTCTTCCAAAATCTGAGAAGGACAAGGTATGGAGCGATGCTTTCAGAAGTCTTAAGAGAGCAACACTCTGATGCAGAAACTATAGACACCAAAGGGGGGGGGGGAATGAAATTTCTGTTGGTGGTATCTGACTAAGAGGATGAAAATGGACACGTGCCAGACCATACTGCTTTGGACTGTTACCAAGTGACACTCACATCAGCATGAATGCATATTCTTGGAGATGCAGGAATGGTGGCCAAAGCATGGAAGAGCATACAAATGTTTAGCATATCTGGCATGTAAATACAGGTTGAACCTCTGTCATCTGGGATTCTCTGGCCTGGCAACATCCATAGTCCGACAGGACCATGGATGTTGCTGGATCCGAGAGCCCCGGACCCAGAGGTTGCCAGTGGCTGGCAGCCGGCAGGGAGCCCCGCCAGTGGACCAGTGGCTGGAGACAGAGTACCCTGCTAGCTAGAGCGGGCACAGCAGCCAGGGGCAGGGAGCCCTTCTGGCCCGAGTGAGGCCAGCCACCCAGAGAGAAGCCCTGGTGGCTGGGTGCAAGAACCCCCGCATCCCACAGCCTGGAAAGGAACCCCGCCATCAGGCTGAGGGCAGCAGAGCCCAGCAGGCAGACTAAGGGCAGGACACTGGCCGGGGCTGCAGCCAGCAGGAGAGCCCCAGATGATCCCAAGGCCTGACCTACCCTGGTCTGGCAAAATCTCTTGTTCAGGACCACTCAGTTCCTGAGGGTGCGGGACGAGGGCAGTCCAACTTCTACCTTACAATGCCAGCTACAACAGTGTCATGTGAACACCTGTTTTCATTTTCTGGGGACATTGTAAAAAAGAAGCAGGAAACATTATGTCCTGTAAATATAAACAAACTTGTCAGTCTGAACAACTGACTTAACAAGTAGTAAGACTGATTGCACTTATAGCCTATAAAGTTTTACACTGTTTAACTTTTGAACATAGTAATGTTTTGTACATAACACTACATTTGTAAGTTCAACTTTCATAGGGAAGAGGTTGCATTATAATTCTATTAGGTGATTGAAAAAACACAATTTGATTTGTTTTTTTACAGTGCAAAGCTCTCTCGTTTTATACATAAAAACATAAGTTAGAAATATGTGCATCTAGATTCTGTACGTGAGTCTGCCCATCCATCTGTCTGCAAGTCCATTTATTCAAGAACTCCTCCTATGCTACACTCACAGTTATCACTGGGGGGGAGCAAGAACAAGAGAAAGCTATGCTGCAGAATGACCACTGGAAACAGCTGCACCAGCATGAGAGTGGCCAGCTGGGGACAGGACTCACCATCCTGCCCGCCCCAAGCCCCTATCTCCCGGCCCTTGGCTCCAGTCCTGGACCAGAGGGGAGAATCCCTGCCAGCCCAACTGCTAAGCTTGGACAGCGCAGCTCTAACCCCGCACCCAGCACCATTGGCCCAGTCAGCAGTACCATGGCCAGCCAGACTGCGTGGTCGTCCGTCTTTCTCCAGCCCCCAGGCCAGGCCCTGGGAACATCAGCAGGAGACCTGTGTGCCCTGCCTCCCTCTCCCTCCAGCTCCCAGGTCATACCCAGGCAACACTGAGTAAGTCTTCTAGTATTTAATAAAAATTAAGTGAGCACTGTACACTTCATATTTTGTGTTGTAATTTAAATCAATATATTTGAATATGTTACAGATAATATAAAAAATATTTAAATAAATGATATTGTTTAACAGTGCAATTAACTGTGATTAATTTTTACTTACAGTTTGACAGCCCTTCTTGTTAAGTTAGATATAATGACATTTTGCATTTTATTTTTTGTAACCATGTCTTGAATGCCTCATTAACAACTACAGAAAGATGTTAAGTGTTTCTAAGTAATGAAAAAAAAAACAAATGGTCTGGTAGCACTTTATAGACTAACAAAACATGTAGATGGTATTACAAAAGCTTATGATACCATCTACATGTTTTGTTAGTCTATAAAGTGCTACCAGACCATTTGTTTTTTTTTTCATTACTTAGAAACACTTAACATCTTTCTGTAGTTAATAAACTTTTTTTTAATCTAAACTAGCATATTTGGACTGATGTGTTTGAGAAACTATTTCAGATAACAAGATCTGTGCATATCATTTTCTATTAATGAAATGATGAACTTTATATGAATTTCTTTTATCCAGAAGGAGATAACTAAGCAATACAAGATGCACATTTCTGCGGGAAAGTCTGGGACTGGGAGTTTGGTGGTGTTTCCCTGCAGTGTAATTCATTGATGGCTGGCTGTAGCACTCATACAGCAATATCTCACAGTAATTCACATGCTGGAGGCTGTGTGTAATCTGAACAAGGATTATCCCTCACCTGGTAGGAGAATTTAGGGCACATAATTGTTCAATAGTCCAGACTGTACCATGGGTAATGTCACATGAACCTCTCCTAATGAATAATAATATAACCATTTGCTCTAATGGTGCTTTCCCCCTTCACCCTACATTGCTGATTGTGAAGGAATGTCCCTCTTTTAAAGTACTTATTCACCATCTCCTGTCTAATCAGCAATTCTTAAGTGCCTCCACAAATGGCTCATCTAGTCTTTCAAAATATCATCTTATTTTGCAAAATAAGCAGTAATGGGGAAGTCTTAACAGATATTGCCTAATCCCAGATCTAAAGACTTGTACAATGAAGAAGGACTGTTCTTACATACTCACCCACCTTGCTGATTGGTCAAGCATCCCCTCTTCAAATCTACTTTAATGTTTAAAGCTTCAGAGATTAAATTAGACCTTTCTGATTTTGTGTGATCTGTAACCACTGAAATCTGAGTTAAATGCCAAGAAAAGAGACCTTTCAGTCCTCTGCATCCTAGCCATGAATGGCAAAATCATTTTTTCTAAGTTGCAAGGAAATATGGTAGCATTAAAAACCTATTTTCTCTTCTGAAAATACAGAGATAATTCTACAAGGAAACAAACATGAATTTCTTTAGGTTTCATTTCAGAAAGCATGCCTACTTAGAAACCAAATTCATTCAGTGGTACAGAGGACAACATTTATTATAAAGGAATCCTTAATTATTTTCTGAGATAAAATTGTTACTCTTACCTTCAAAGATGCTTTACTTCTCTTTTGAAGGTATTCCTTTCTATTCATTAAAAATAGCTTTAAAAAAAGTTTAAGCCTAACAACTGGAATATATTTATGGACATTTTTGAGTTTACCACTTTTCCTTAATCTTTCTATGCCCCATGTTTGTCAAGCAGGCCTCTGATCTTTTCACTTTATACTGTATCAGAGCACTAATTATTTCAAATAAAGTTCACATGACCCCAGAATGAAGAAATTTATCAATATTCTGAGGCACTCAGGAGTAACCAAGTTTTCAAAATACTGTATACTACTTCTCCAAATCCACAATTAGTATAACACTGAGCTGCACCAAGCAGGAATTCTTAGAAAGCCAGTTGACCCTAATCAGCTTCATGTGCCTTGGCAGATGTGCATTAAAGCAACATCAATAATAATATTAGTTCTTTCCCCCTTCAGTTTTTAACTGCCTATTCAGAAATGCTAGCTATATGAAGACAAGCTGAGATGACGTAACAAGATTGCTTAGTAGTCAATACATCTGCAGAATTGTATAGGGAAATGAACTAGTCTTTTTCATGAAAAAGCTTTCAGCGTTCCCGCGCTTTCCCTCTCTCCCCCAGATTATCTAGCAGTAACCAAAGGGAGCAGTTTGTTTATATTTATATATGTAAGATCTAAGCTCTTATATTTATATATGTAAGATCTAAGGAGTGTCACCACAGCTTTATCAAAGTAAGCATGGCAACCTTCTGTAACGGCAATTCTTGAATAAATCATAATGCAAAGGACTATCCTTTAGACCACTACTCACTGGATATGTCAACCCTTTATCATCTATCCTCATAAACACAAGGAAAGAGTTATGCAAAACATTTTTGTCTCTTAGTAAAAGTGGAAGGCATTTTTTACATCCAGCTTCTGAAGGAAGTCTTCAGGTCAGGTTTACACTACAGGGCTTGTAACATGGTGGTTTAACTTTTAAAATAAATCATTACTTACTTATCCAGAATATGAGGATCCTCAGGGCTTTTATTTTCATATTCTAAAAGCTCAAGGAAACTTTGCATGTACCTGAAATATAAAAGATATGTATTATTAAGTAGTAGGGTAAAATGTTCAAAGACACCTGACACAGGATCTGTCTGCATGTACTTCTATCTGGCCATGGCAGTCTTACTGAAGGAACATAAGGACTTAGAAATGTTCCTCTAGCCACTCACTACACAAAAGACCAATTCCTTCAGGACAAAGCTGACTTTCTCTGAGTCATTTAAAAATAAACCTACTCAAACTTCAATTTGAAATTGACAACCTGTATTAAGGCAAATATATAATAATCCCTTAATTAACACAAAAAATAATAGTAAGCAGTAAATGTTGGCTGCCAAATGTTAAAGAAAGTCAAACCATGAAAATGGTTGAAGTCACGGGCTAAAGCACCTGGAATAGGAAGTTGCTTACTGTAACTGGAAGTTCTTCAAAATACGTGGTCCCTACTTGGATTGCAGAAGTAGAAGTGCATGCATGTCGTGTACCGCAGCTGGAATTTTAAGTAGTAGCGTCATTTCACCTGTATGTGCATCATGTATCAGTCATGTAGCGTGTCCAAGATTTTAAGAGAAAGTGAGGTTTAACACTCTCTAAGTCCCTTTTAGCACCAAGCAAGAGAGCCCGCAGCACAGGGGATGGAGGGCTCGAAATTGGAATAATGGGTATTAGAATACAAACAGGGATCACAGGTATAAAGAATCTCCAGACACAGTAAGTAACCTCTTTTTCTTCTTTGAGTGATGGTCTCTATATGGATTACAGATGTGGATGCTGTGACACACTGCTGGCTAAGTCAGAGCTCTGCCACTACAGCCTGGCTGAAAAGGCCAATTACAGCCAGCTGAGGAAGCCCAGGCCTGAAGGGCTAATGGAAGCTGCTGTGGGCCTCATTAGCCAGAAGGCTAGATAAGTCAGCCAGAGGGGAAGTGAAAGGGAGGAGTCAGGAGGTAGCTGAGTGTGCTCCTAAGCCAGAAGGAGAGTCTGCTTGAGTTAGCTGCTAGAAAACCAAAGCTCTGTAAATAGAAGGTGGTGGGAAATTGGCACCAACATTAAAAGGCATGGGTGACTGCACCAGAAAGGGTCTCCGGTTGGTTTGTGACGCAAGAAGGGGTCCCAAGGCGAGAGGCCTGGCCAAGAACTTTGCCACAATGCACAGAGAGCAGTTCTCAGAGTCAAGATGGGTGTAAGGACTTGCAGGAAGGCACAGTCTGAAAGATGGAGCAGCCAACCACTGCATCTGCCACTACTGCTGGAGCACTTAGGTCAGTGAGTGGTAAAAGTTTGAACAGAGGACCATGTGGCCACTCTACAAACATCCTCCTGACACAGTACATCCACAAAGAATGAAGATACGGTGGCATGGGCCTGTGTGGAGTAGGCCATTACTCCAGAGAGCAAAGGAATGTGTGAGAAGGCATAGTATTCCTTGATGCAACAGGAGATCCATTTAGAGTGGTGCTGTGAGGAGATGGTGGTGCATCCCCAGCAGCAAGGAAGAGTGTGGGCAAGACCCAGACGACATTGGAAATAAAAGGCCAACACATGGCGAATATGGAAAGATGCCACTTGTGTGCCCTGGGAGAGGTGTGCGGTTTGGGGTAGAAAACTGGAAAGTAGATAGACTGGTTGAGGTGAAATGGAAAGGCCAGCTTGGGAAGAAACTTGAGGTGTAGGCACATGGAGAATGCGTCTTTTTGGAAAACAGTAAAGAGCAGGTAAGCCATCATGGGTGCCAGCTCACTAACCTGCCTCACCAAGGTGACAGCCACTAAGATTACCTTCATTGGTCTCTGAACAAGTTCCACCGTACCATAAAAGGCACAGCTCTTCATTTTGTCCATGTTTGAGAAGAATGAATCCTCAAAATTTATGTAAAAAGAAGTGGGTGAAAAAAGCAGGTAACAAGACGTATGAATGCAGCGGTGTAGGGTAGAGAGGACAAGACTGAGGTCCCAAGAGGGGGAAGGATTCCACACCAATGGGAACACGTTGAGTAAGCCATGATGGAACCGGACAGTGGTTGAGTGAGTGAAGGCAGAGAAACCTCCATAGGAGGAAGAAAAGTGTTGAGTGCTACCAGATGGATATGGATGGAACAGTGGGCAAGGCCTGACAACCTAAGGCGGAGAAGGTAATTTATGAGAATGGGAATGGAGATGGAATCCAGACCATAGCGGTGGCAGTGTGCCCAACCTATGAAGTGCCACCATTTCGCTTGACAGCAGGCCCTCGTAGATGGTTGCCTGATGTACATGAGAATGTCACTTAGTGACATGGGCCATGCCCCTTCTATACACAAGTGACATCAAAATGCAAACCTGTCTGAGTGGGTTCAAACTGAGGCGCTGCAAATGGCCATGCACCTGCGTGATGAGATCCTGGAGGTCGGGGAGACGGATCAGGGACTTATCCTGAAGACACTGATGATTCACTAATATACTGACAATAGCTAACTGTATACATTTGCAGCTCAGACTATAAAGAGGCATTGATAGCTTAGTTTAAAGCAAGATTTAACTCAGGAGGCAAATAGTCCTAGCTCGATTATATTTTTCATACATAAATTCATGTGCAAATTTCATGTTTATATGCCAAACATACTGATTTGTAGATAATCATGGTTGTAATCATTTGTAAAGAAAGAAAGAGTTGGCACTGCATAACTTCTTTAAATGAATAAGGCAAGTTGACCCGATGTTGCACAAAATCTAACACTACTTCAGATTTCTTAGGTTTGAAGTTTGAGATACATTAAATATTTAGCCGATTGCTTTCCCATGTGAAAAAAAACTGAAGTTATTGAAGTCACATCAAGGCAAGATGCAATTTATGTATACAAAAATTGTGGTAGTATTTACTCAAGATACTTTGCAGAGTATGCAGACACATTTTACATACATTTTGTGGATTCATTCTTCTCAAACATGGACAAAATGAAGAGCTGTGCCTTGTGCGGTATGGTGGAACTTGTTCAGAGACCAATGAATGTAACCAAGAAAGAAGTTTACAGAACTTTGCTCAACTTACAAGTAAAGTAGAGATAAATGATATTGCGTAGATGTCAGAATTTGATATTAATACTAATAAATTAAATAAGAAGCTTAATAGGTTTTCTTAAGCCAACTGGACAAACTAGAATTTTGATGTTCCAAGGGACCAGCTGAATCAAAGCTGCCATTTTAAACTTTTAAAAACATAAGCTATGAAAGCACAAAAAGATTAAATCAATTTTCAGTTTTTTGAACAGGGTATAACTGCAGAAAGAAGAAATATTTTAAATGTTCAGGACTTATTTCTTCTGATGAGAGACTTCATGACAGCTAAAATTCAATTAGGTTGATTTTATGAGCCTAAAAATGAGGCAGGCCTTGTAGCACTACTGATTTAGCACTCTAAAATTTCATCTTCCACTGAAATCACTCATACAGAATTTCTGGGCTTTGATTCAAACAATGTATGAGTCCTTCATCTATACCTGAAAATTGTATCGGAATATTTGTTTCATATCAGACAAAGAAAAAGATGCCTTGTTTACATATGCATAACAGTTTAAGAAGGACAAATTTAATAAAAATATTCAAATTAGAGAACTAGATAATGATTCATTTTCACATGGACTTTTAAATATACTTACAATAGCAGAAATATACGGATTTCTTAATCTGCTCTATACACTTACCAACTCTGAACTAGCCCAACTGAAGGCCTGTTTAGCAAGTTATCAGGCAGCAAATTGACTTCTCTCATGGTATTAGCTAGTCGCACAGGAAGTTCTTTCCGAAGGAACATATATGAAGTTTTCTCACATGCATTGTCACGTCCTGTTAGGAAAAAATAAAGAATTCTATTGCAACAGACTGGTTTAGGATTTGCAGCTCTAGATTGAAATAAATGTCTCTCTCAGAAAACAAAGACCAACTACGCTGCCTAGCTCTTATCCTATATCCATTTATCAGTACCCTTTCCAAAGCCTGCTTTCCCATTTCATATCTTCAGGTTGCACTTAAAAGCTCCTGTTCCCAATTAATTCTTTCAAACTCTACCCAATCGAAGTTTCTCTCTAGTGCTCAAAACCTCTATCCCAACCACATTCACATGGCAGAAAAAAATTACAAAAGAAAAATAATTTACAGTAATTTTCTCCTCTACCAGGAGGCTTTTCTCTAGTGCTTTTGTTGTAGAAGCAATTCCATAATAATTGCACTTCTACTAAGCTCTTTTTTACAATGCTAGCACTTCTGTTCTAGAAAAGCTGCTATTATTGTAGAATCATTTTTTGATACAAGGATTACTTAGATTCACTTTTAAAATGGGTAACTAAATAAACCTGCCAATGCAGGATAAAATGCCTACTAACTCTTCTCAGCACTATTACTACTTCATTGAGAGTTATAATCCCACTTTTAGGTTTGTAGAGACTCTGTATCAAAGTAGAGATGTAAAACATTTTTGTATAGCTCTACTATATTTTTAGAGTGTTTGTCTGTGAGCGTGTCTGTCTGTTCATTCAAGAACTCCTCCTAAACAATAAGAGCTATGACCACCAAAATCAGTGTATAGCTTTCCCTTATCATAACTTAAAGCAAGGTAAGGGCCAACCCTTGGGATGTGCCTAGAAAACAGGACGTGCCTAGAATGGGATTGTTTCTCATAAAATCATACAGAAAAGAGAGAATCACCAAGCAGCTAAAAGGGGGCTGAAGCTCTCCTCCCCAATTCATATAGGAACATTGGTGGCTGTTTGCTTCCTTCAGGGTGTGAGGAGAAAATGCACAGTTTGCTGCATTCCTTACTCTGTTTGGGGAGCCTAGGAGAAAGATGAACCTGGACCTGCCCCAGCCAGGTGATATGCACCCCTCACGTGGCTGTGCTGGCTAGAGCTGTAGCAGCCATGAAGTGGTCAGGTGAGAAGCACCTCAAGCTGCTGCAGTGAGAAAGGGCTGGGGTAGTCCTCTCTTTCCAGGGCAGCCTACATTTACTGAACCCCTCATCTCCAGTCCCACCCCAGAGCAATTTTTTAAAATAAAGATAAACAAAAATTGAGTTAAGGACCCAAGTAACATCAGGTAAATCTTCTAGTATTACATAAATTTCCTTTGCCAAGTCTCACACTGATAACTTGGCAGATCCAAGGCTATCTTTTATGTAGGTTAGTTCTCTGCTTGACAATTTGTCCATACATAAACAGAATATCTTAAAACAAAAGGCTATTGTGATTCTCAGCTAATATCTTTATCTAGTTACATACCCGTTCCTATATTTTCTCTAGCATAAAAATATAAGTTCTATAACAAGTGGCTCCAGTAACCTAACCAATTTATATGCTAGCTTTACTTTAATACTTCATATTTTATGCAAGCCGGAAAGTTTCGGTTGACATTATACATAAAAATGTCCATAATCAGAGTCCAATTAAACATTTCAAAGACCTAAAACACACACATACATACAAACAACAAAAACATGATGTCCACTTCTGCCCTTAGCTACGTAAGAGCAGCTCAATTTCAACTGCAGTCATGAAAGCTGACTGTGCTCCTTTATACCAACCCTAATTTCATAAATAAGAGTGATGGTTAAAAAAGCTTACATTGTTAAAAAAAAAAAAGATACTGTTATATTATCAAGCAAATTTAATGTAATTTAATTTAATAGACTCCTACGATGCCATTTTATATCAGCACACTTTAAACTGTACAATATAAGTCAAGTGTGCCTTTGTCCAGCTAAATTATTAAATCTTTACTTTCCTGAGAAGTCAACTCTGTGTTTAGCAGAAATACTGAAAAATTCTGGCAAAGGTCAGCTTACAGTTCTATAAAAACAGCAACTTTATAAAACTGTTAATATTTGCAATACACAAGCTAAAAGATGGGGAAGGAAAACTAATTTCACAGCAGTGAATGTGACAATAAGTTTCCTGGTCTCTCTCAACAGCTTAAAAATGTTTTATGATCAAAATATACCTTCTAATCTCATTTCATTTCTAAGGTGAAATTTTAAAATGGTCATAATGTCAATATTTTGGTACGGAAACTATTGATATTCTGTGCTTCCACAGTCAAAGTTTAGTTAACATTGCTATAAAAACTGCCTTTTGCATTCTAATAATAGTACTAAATAGGGAAAACAAATTAAATGGGGTTCTGAGCCACCAAAAAGTTGACTCTGTAGCTACTGGTCTACAAAAACTGTGCGCCATAGCTGGAAAAAACAATGCACAAACTATTTTGTATGGCAGCATTCTGTTCATCCTTTTTCCCCATACATATAATGGAAATTGTGAACTGCCAAACTGCCATTTCAGAATCTAGCAAGCTAGCTTTTGAAAGGGCTTTTCCAAGAATATTCAGCCATCCAAAGAGGAGGCATAGCAAGCACAGCCTGTTAACTTCTAAGAGGTTGAAAGGGGGAGTGAGCTAAAATGTTATTTCTGGCTATTATTTCTATTATCTTGTCAACTATAAAAACAAGAAAAGGACAACAACAGAGTTATTTAAGAGAAGAAGAAAAATTCTCTAGCAGTCAAGTGAAACCAACAAGTCTTCCTAAGAAGCTTTCAATCTCCGCCCACCCCCAAATGTATCACTCTTACAATGGATTTTATTGGACATGGGGAGTAGGCAACTGTGAAGAGGACTGACTGAAAAAAGAGTGACTGGCGTAGCTAATTCATTTGATGAGCAAGATATTTCCAAAGAAACGGATAATATTATTTTGACATTTTGCTAGCATTAACAAATGGTTGATTTACCACTGCATTAGTGATTATCAGAATATGGTGTGATGGGATGTCCATCCCACACAAAGCCTGCGAATATAAATTAGGCCTATTAACCTTAGGCTGCACACGAGGAAACCTAAGGAGTGCTACAGCCTAACTGCAG